CCTATATATATTATGTTCTTTCCAATACGATAAATCATAAAGTTTAATTTATAAATTAGTCATCATAAGAGACTAACAATAACTGATAATAAAATAGAACAGTTATAACAATATACTGTAATAAAAGCTACCATAGATCTTAGCAATCTCAGCATACAAATTTCTCTTTTCCTTATTAAGTCGAGACTTTTCACTTTTTCACCCAAAGGAAGCACTTTACAGCTTCTCTTTGGCATATTAGAATTGCCAGCATCACTACGCTTGCACTTTGGGGCCATTATTGAGCAAAATAAGGGCGACTTGAACACAAGCACTGGGATACTGCACAGTTGATCTGATAACCGAGACGACTACTAAGTGACTAATGGGGGGTGACGTATACAGCGAGGCTAAGGGATGAGTCACATCCCGGGCGGGATGGCAAGGGGCAGAGCAAGATTTCGTCATGCTACTCAGAAGGGCGCACAATTTAAAACTTATGAATTATTTCTGGAATTTTCCATTTAATATTTTCAGACCATGGTTGACCAAGGGTAACCGAAACTGCAGAAAGCGAAACCATGGATAAGTGGGGACTACAGTATTACAACAGCATCCTAACTGGGTGAGCCATTTCCAAGCTTTCCCCCTTCTGATACATTCTCCAAGGGCGATCTTTTTGTCACTGTAAACTGGATATGCCACCCCCTGCTTAAATCACTCGAGTGGCTTCTAGCTGCATCCCCTCCTTCCCATTACAAGGCCAGGCAAGGACCTGGCTCAGTCTCTAAGCTCAACCCCCAGCCCGATCCCTGAGCTCCCCACCTGCAGTCCAGAGGCTTCCTTTCTCTTCCTTAAATGCACCACACCACCTCCTGCCTCAGGAACTCAGCTCTGGTGTTCACAGGCCTCTTCTCATTTTCCAGGTCCAGCTTAACATCATTTCCTTGGGGAGACCTCCTCTACGCAATCTAGAGTCCCACCTGTCACAGTCCTTGTTCTTCTGCTTCACAGCATTTATTACAATGTGCAATTATACACCTGTCTGACTCCGCCCACAGCCTGTCTCCCCACTCAACTGTCAGTTGTTTAGATCACCATGATGTCCCCGCTATCCAGCATGACGCCTGACTCACAAAGAGCACAAGACACATTTGTTGGATAAACAAGTGAAGAGACACTAGGCCTGTCTAATTGGCTGGTGTTATCCAACCTGAAGTCCCCATAGAAAAGTGACTACACTTCTCTTGATCTGTGAACCCTCTCACATATTATCTCCTGGAACATCAAGAGATGAGGCTGAAGATGCAAATTCAAAAACCTGAATTTGGCACTGTCCTATTTACTAGTCTCAGCTAGTATGACAGAATAAGACCTGCTCCAGAGGTCGTGCAGTCTCGCCAGAAGAACGGATGAGTACCTGAAACGCGGAGAATCATTTAAAGAGGGAATAGGTTCCAAGTCAAAATGATGGAGCAGACAGTAAGAAACCTCAAATGAAAGGCGTTGAGGAACCATTGTGAGAGTCGGGGCACATGAAGATTTCGTGAAGGGAGGAGACCTGAACGGGGCCTTGAGGGAACAAAGGTTTGCAGGAATGAACATCACACATGGGTGCAGAGTGAGCAAATTCCGGAAGGAGAGAACGCAGACCTAGCCTGCCCGGGAGCAAACGCCAGCTCGGAGCTCCACGCCTTGCCTTTCAAATCATGATGACGGAGACAGGCTGAGAGGGTAGATGCATAAGGAAGAACATCAAAATTTTGGGCATTGATTTTAACACTGTAATAAATAAACAGCAGAATATTCTGTGCATTTTTCTACACCAATTTAAGAACTCAAACGTAGAATAATTTTCTTGGCCAAGAATTTTTCTTCCTATATTTTGACTCAAAGGGCAAATCTTTAAAGTTCATATTAAAGGCATAAGAACCTAAGAAAGTGTAATGGACAACCCTGGTTGGAACTGCGTGGAAGAGAACTAGCGACATGCAGTGGGGTACAGGAGCTCCAAACATGGGATTTAGAAAAGGGACCCAGACAGATGCCAAGCAGAGGATGGCACCTTGTGTGAGGGCTGACTGTGCGCAGACCACCCAAAACAGGGCAGCCCCGAAATCCTCAGAGGGTAGCTTCAGTATTTGAAAGCAGACAGTCTTTGCTAAACAATTTCCAGTTAGAAAATATATTAACTCCTATTCAGAAAGCACAGTTGTCTCATTTCTGGTTTATGAACACTCCGGGTACGTGAAAGAGAAAGGTGTCTCTCTATCCAAGTCAGTATGAATTAATTTTGTTTACGCACCCTTCTTAAAAGGCTTTTATTCTCACTACCCTTCTTGATTTCTTATTGCATCTTTTCTCCCAGGCACGTTTGTCTCTGAACACAGCTTTGGGAAGCACAGGTGTCAGCAATATCTCATTCTATTTCAAGCTCAGGGAGGAGCACAAGAATACACGTAAGACTGGGGAAAAGGAAAATAAAGGAAACGTCAGCTGCACTGTTACAGGTACCCGGTGCTGCGCTGGAGACAAACCTGTATTCAGGCTGCCACGCCCTGGTCCGAAGAAATTTGCCTGAAGGAGAAAGGCCGTTGGGCACCAGTGCTCACAGCACGTATATGGAGAGACACCTTGGCAGGGCCTGTGTGTCTACAGGCTCTTTGCTAAGGCAATTTAACCAAAGCATAAGGAAACAGAATCAAACAATTGTTTATTTGATATGGAAGATGAGGTGATACAAGTATTCTATGGCTTCCAGAGAAATTAAGTATTGGAAGCCACAATTACCGGGTGCTTTAAGCAAAATATTTGTTTTCTCTTCACCAGGATTCTCAGGAACTCCTTATCCAAAGTGCCCATCACTCTGAGCTGTAAAGACCGGATGCGTGTGACGGGCTGTCTACTGGCCGGACCACACCAAGAAACACTTTTCAAGTTAAGATATTAATACTTGCTGCTTAGGTTTGTTTTCTTATTTGAGGTCCTTATTTCATTTTTTATTTTATTTTATTTTATTTTTTTTAAAGATTTTATTTTTTTCCTTTTTCTCCCCAAAGCCCCCCAGTACATAGTTGTGTATTCTTCGGTGTGGGTTCTTCTAGTTGTGGCACGCTGCCTCAGCGTGGTCTGATGAGCAGTGCCATGTCCGCGCCCAGGACTCGAACCAACGAAACACTGGGCCGCCTGCAGCGGAGCGCGCGAACTTAACCACTCGGCCACGGGGCCAGCCCCTCATTTTTTATTTTAATAATGACTTGCGTAAGCCTCAGAAGGTCTCCTAGCTCGTGCAGAAGCCTCAAGCTGAATCTCAAGGATACGGAACTCTGTGCTCCCTTTGCTGCACACCGCCCTCTGCACCGTCTGCCTCCCAGGGGCCAGCTGGGGAGAGGGCTCGAGGGAAGGGAGGAGCCGCACAGAGTGGCGTGGACGTCACCGTCATCAGCAGCTCTCTGGCTTCATGAATTAAAACCATTAATAAAACCAAACTTTCCATGGCTGTACAACTAGCCCAACAAACCAGAAAAGCCAAACGTCCCCAGAAGAGAATGAGTTTGGTCCAAGGAAACAGGAGGTCGGTGGAATGAGTTCAAGCCCACCTCTCTTAGACGTCACCCAGAGTTCCACAGCCACAGAGGGCGGCCGAGCAGTTTCCTCCCAGCAGGGCGCTGCAGCCACGGCCCATTTTCGGGATGGAACAGGAGTCTGGGAGATGGGGTTTCCAACATGAAATGACAGCCCTAGCTCTCTAGAGTTCAACCACTCAGGTCAACAAGCTCAGAGAACACCATTCTGTAGAGAGGGTGAAATAGCAGAAAAACGAATCCTTCTGGAGGAGGAAAGAAGGGGAGGTGGTGTGGACCCCAGTGAGCAGGGCCAGGGTCTCTGGAGAGCTGGGTTGCATTGTTTGGTGCATTTCTGTGTCGTGCCAGAGTTCCCCATCCCAGTGAATTCCCCCTCAAGCCAAGAAAAACAAACAAAATACTCCCTGTGGTGGGTTCTCAGAGTCTAAAGTAATGAACCAAAACCAGTTAAAAGGAAATCAAATCTGTTCTGGGAAGCGGCCCCTCTGACTTTGAGAGCACCGCCAACAATGACCTCAGGCAGAAGAGAGATCAAACTATCAGTTTCCCTTCTGGAATTTCCTTCTAGAATTGTCTGGAGCCTAGATATTTGAGAACAACTGCCAACTATTCAGGGGTTTGACTTTTCCTAAGGTGGGTACCCCAGGACTTTGTGTGCAAGGACCTCACTAAATCACTAAACACACTTCTTGCAAAGTCCCTGATTACGCTCTGAGGGCATCTCAGCACAGTTTCCCAAGAACAGGTAGCCTCTGAGGGCACCCAGAACAGAACGTCATTACCAGAGAGGCTGCGAAGGCGAAGTCTGGCCATCAGCTGGGAAACAGATCTTAGATAAAGGTTATTCATGGGGAAGCAGCGTAAAGAAAGGGAAGCATAACATGGCCCAGAACTGGAGATGGAGCCGTCACCTTCTATTAATTAGCTGATCAGACGGAGGAAAACCTTTACAATTCAACTCTTCACCCAATACCCAACTTCAGATCACAGTGGATGGGGATACTATTTTTTGTTGACGATCACCAGCAAATGAAATCACTAAAAGTTCCTCTTATTTTGTTCGCCTAGAGTCATTCAGCTGGACGGGTGACTTTGGTTTTCTATATCTGATCACTGTCTATTTTATTTCTCCTCCCCTCCACACACTGACATAAGATGCTATGGAAGACATAATTTTTCAATTAAAATAAATTTTATTTTGCAGCATGATTACTACGTTTTGATTCACAAAACATAGAATCAACAGGTTACAGCACAGAATTATGGAAAGTTGGAATTGGGAGGCACAATATAGGTCAGAATTAACAAGTGTATGCTTGTAGGTTTTATATCCACAGCATCAAACAAATTCACACGAAAAGCTCCACTTCAGAGCTCTATGATTTCATCCTTTACTCTCAGAGCATAAAACGTAAGCCAAAAATTCCAGGTACTTACTGATTCCTTGGAAGAGCTCTTCAATGTTAATAGCATTCTTTGCACTTGTTTCAACCACGATGGCACCTATGGACTCAGCATATTCCTTAGCATCCTTCAAGGGAACCTCCCTGGAAAAGAAACCAAACCCAGACAGAAATGAATGCTCATTTGTAAAATATAAATAACCCCAACAGATCAAACAAAAAGCTCATGTGGAAAAAGATCCTTTATTTTCCTGTATAATAGCAATTCACTTGCTCAGGAAGTATTGAAAACCTAGTATGGGTGAGACTTTTTAGAGTTTAAAACCTGGTCTCTGGCATCCACAGAGACAAGATGTGCATATATAAAATGTCGGCCCCAGTCCACAGAAGGAAAAAATTCCAGAACAGTAGGAAAAGTCATTATGAGTACGGCAGTGTACATTCCAGCTTTCAGAGTTAGCATTGACTTCAAATTTTTTTCCCCATAATGATGACTCAATATTCTTAAGAAATTGTATGTGTGTGCAAGTACGTGTTCGTACGCCCTTAGAAGACTTTCAAATATCGTCTTCTACAAATCAGGGAAGATACTGACGTGGTTTGAAAGTTTGGAAATGAACGTGGTTAGCTGCCATGGCTATGATGCAACGTGGCCTATTTGGACTCTCACCTTTAAAAGGCTGTTCCCGCAAAGGTTTCAGGACATGAATCCACTTAAATGAATAATCTAAAAAGACATTTATTGATCTGCTTTCAATGGGAAGATACTGTGGTGGATACAAAGATAAAAAACACACAGTTCCTATCCTCCAGAAACGTATTCATTTATTCAACAAATGTTTACTGAGCAGCTATTGTACGCCAGTCTTTCTTGCAGGTGCCAGAGAAAACACTAGTCCTTGCCTTCTGGAATCTACTTGAGAGCAAAGGCAAACACATTCACGGTCACTCTAATCCACTGCATCGTAACATCTGCAATATGTGGATAACAAAGGCGCCAATAAAGTGCTTCAGGAGGGGAGGGTGGAAAGAGATGCCTTTGACCCATGGACCCGGGGAAGGCGCCTGGGAGGAGGTCACCTGAAGTGTGGCCATGAAGGGGAGAGAAGGTCAGAGGGACGGGAGCCGAGAGAGAGGGTCCAGCAGGAACTGTGGCAGAAGGGCAGGAAAGCACCTCGCGACCGAAGAACAGTGACGGGGTCAGCTCCGCATTCCAGGGAAAAGCCGTGCACAAAGGGGACTGGAGGAGGGGAGTGAGGAGAAGGCTCTGGAAGCTCCTCTAACCCGTCGGCGAGAGAGAGTACAATGCTGCACTAGGAGGACGGCTATAGGAAAAGAAAAAAGGGAGGACAGAAAAACGCAACCGGGAGGGAGGCGAAGAGACTTCCTCTGTCTCCCCATCTCCCTCCCTCTCCTCCATGCCCTCCAAATTCCTCAGAAATAGTTTTAGCTGGTTTGTAAAGTTACTGGGAAAATTGCAGTGTGGCATTTAGCTTCTTTATGTACCCCAAATCAAATGAGAAGAGGGCTTTCCAGGTACTAGCTGGGAGAGGGCTTGACTGGAGTCTACCATGCGCTAGACGGTTGTCGCAGATGCCACGCCAGAGAAGAGAATCTTGCTGGAATCCGTATTTCCGTACTCTTTCCTGCCAAAGACACACTCGGGAAAATTACACTCCTGAATCTACCATCCTTATTGTTTCTAACTGACAAGCCCTGGCCTCTTACAGGTATTTAAAAAACACAAGTTTTCTGGTAGCAATGAATTTTACGTTAGAAACATTCCAGAAAAGGGCTTTTTTATGTTTAGTTTGGCATGTGACCCTGTGTTTTATTTCTTCCTGGCAGTCTTTACGGAAAGGTGAGGCTCATCTCTGCCCAAATGTGGGACAGATAAGACAGGCTGTGGCTTGCTGATCTCTGCCTGGGGTGGAGGCGCAGCTGGCAGTCAAGGAGGCTTCAGAGACCCTGACGCGAGAGCTTACGTACACAGTTAAAGGCCTCCTTCGCTCCCCTCTCAGCAGTCTCATTGTGGGACAAAGAGGAGGAGGCCAGGTTTTGCCAGGATTAAGGCGAGAACAAAGTCACTTGCAACATAATCCAAAATATCCATCCTCAGGATAACAGCAAATGGAGATGGGCTAACTACCTCACAGGCTACAATGCTGGACCTTGAAATGAGATGAGAAAAGTGTGTCCTCATACTTCTCCCATGTTTAGAAACAGATCTTGTTAAGTAAATGACTTGCTGAAAACAGAGCAAATTTGGGGTGGAGGCAGGGTCTAACCCACGGCCTCTGGTTCTGCCCACCTTGCTCCCATCAGGCCTTGACAACACAACCACCCAGCTGGCACCCATACTCCCGAGGCCGTTCTTTCCATGCTTATGGACAAAGAACATGAGGGGTTCAAACTATTCTCGAACTGCACTACGCTGGAGTCAGGGCTGGAGGCAGGGGAGGGCAGAGCCTCCTAAGGAACAGGCTCTCACTCTAAGAGTCTAGAAGGCCAGTGAAAGTCCCGCTACCAGGAACTGAAATTAGAAGGACCGATCCTTCTTGGGTCTGCCAAAACATGTTTCCACTACTGTGGTATCATAAGAAATATGTATTTGATCTTTGTCCCTGGTTCTTGGCACAGAGCTCCTAAAACCCACGAAGTTTCCCGAGACAGAGGTGTGTCTTTTGTTATACATAAAGAGCTCCGTAGACCATACCTGAGCTGCTGACAGGCAGGAGCCCCTAGAAAGCTTCAGGGTGGGGACTGGTCGCCACACGATTGGAGGGTTGGAACTTTCAGCCCCACTCCCCAACCTTTAGGGAGGGAATCGGGGCTGGAGTTTTCACCAGTCATGACTAAGTAATGAATCCTCAGTAAAAACTCCTGAATGCAGGGCTTGGAGAGCTTTGGGTTGGTGAACACACAGAGGTGCCGGGAGGGTGGTGTGCCCAGAGAGGGCATGGAAGCTCTGCCCCTTCCCACATGCCCTGCCCTCTGCACCTCTTCCATCTGGCTGGTCCTGAGTTGTATCCATTACAAGAGAACTGTAATCATAAGTCTAGTGCTTTCCTGAGTTCTCTGAGTCCATTCTAGCAAACTATCAAACCTGGGGGCTGGGGGTCATGGGAACCTCCAAATATGTAGTCTGTTGGGCAGAAGTAAGGGTAACTTGGGGATACCCAAGACGTGCCACTGGCATCTGAAGTGGGGGGCAAGTTTGTGAGACTGAGTCCTTAATTTGTGAGGTCTGTGCTAACTTCAGGTAGTTTAGGGTCAGAATTGAATTGAATTGCTGGGGCCGGCCTGTGGCCCAGTGGTTAAGTTTGTGTGCTCTACTTCGGTGGCCCAGGGTTTCGGTGGTTCAGATCCTGGGCGCGGAAATGGCACCGCTCATCAAGCCATGCTGAGGTAGCGTCCCACATACCACGACTAGAAGGACCCACAACTAAAAATAAATATCTGACTATGTACTGGGGTACTTTGGGGAGAAAAAGGAAAAATAAAATCTTAAAAAAAAAAGAATTTAATTGAATTGCATACCCAGTTGGTGTAGGAAAATTGTTGTTGGAACAAAGGCTACAACTACAATCTGAAAAAAGAGCCTTAGAAGTGTGAGAATGTAATTCCTTGGAGCCTCTTGCGACCACTGGGAACTCCTCCAGCTGCATTTCAGCAGAGGCCCACTGCACAGACCCATTAGGCTGGAAGGTGCCAGTATGATTACAAGAGATATGGCATCTAGTGACTTTCATTCATTTTTTTTTTAACAAATATTTATCAAGTGTCTGCCATATGCTGGACATTGTGCTAGGCATTGAAACAGGTAAACTGAAACCTATTTGCCCAAGCCAAGATATAAACACAGTCAATTTTGATGGTAAAGGCTATTTTTAGACTTTCTAGACCAAGCTACATACAGATAGTAAGGACTCCCAGAAATCACCCAGAAGCCTTAATGCAAACTCGCTGGGAAGGGTAAACTTGGATTCCTTCCTCGCCTGCGCCCTCCTCCAGTGGCTCCTTCACCCTCCTTAAGGAGCTGATTATATTCTATCTGACCCTTCAATGTCAGCATTGCCCAGGGTTTCTTTCTTGACTATCTATCTGAAGTCCTACTGCCACCTCAAAGCAGTGGGACTGGCCAGCCTCAGGCAGGCCGAGTGGGCAGGATGGAGGTTGGGACTCAGAGCCGGCGCTGGATTCCCTCTAGAGCCAGCAGACATGAACGGAGGGAGAAGTGGGAAAGCTGGAGCCCATGGGAGACGCGATAGTCCCCTTACCAAGGAAACTCTGACTTTCAGGGCCCATAAGAAGAGACCAGAGTCAGGGTCAGGGTCAAGAGCTGAGCAAAGGGGAGTGAAAGCAGTACCACTCAGGATTGGGAAAGGAAGATTGCCTCCAACGTGGACACTGTGCAATAGATGGACTTGTCTGTGCATGGCATGTGGCTACATGCTCAGAGGGCCGGAGACGCTATCCTTTCTCTTCTATATCTAGACACATCTCCCTCTTGAGCCAGCTGATCGCTGGTCATCGCTACTTGAACAGCAAACGGGCTTCACAAACGTAACTTGTCGAAGCCTGGCTAACGGCCTTTCCCCCACAAACCTGCTGCCCTTCTCATAAACCCGCTACTTCCCAAGCCAGAGACCATGGAGACGTCCTAAGTGGCTTCTCCTCTCTTACTCTTGACGCTAGTAATGAAGCCTGCGTACCCTCCCTGGTAGCCTCCCCTCCAGGCACCTGCCTCATTTGCCACATGAATATCTGCAGTTGTCTCTGACTGCTCCTCCAGCCTCCTGCAGCCCACTGCCCACGTGCACACTGTGGAAATCTTTCAAAATCACAAATCTATCCAGTATTTCCGTGAACAGAATTATTCAGTGTCTTCCAATTGCCCCAGGATAAAACCCACCACCTACGCAGGACGAGGCTTCAGGTCTTCTTGCTCTCTGGCCCTGCCCAGAGCTGCGGCCCTTCCAAGCCAGTTGCCATTCTGGGAACTTGCTGTGCTCATGTCTGTTTCTGGGTCGTGCACCTGCTCTTACTTGGCAATATTCCACCCGTGGCCTCCTGGAGAGCTCAGCCTCACAGCCCCTCCTCCAGGGTAGATGCTCTTCCCCTTGTGCCCTCATACCTGTGCT